AGGAATGCCATCTTAATGGGAGTTTCCATTTGATTAAATAATAGAAGGCTGTATTATCTGTTATGCTAATGAAAACATGGCATCACAGGGCAAGTTGAAATCATGACTGTATTAGGCCTCCATCTTGAGTGGCATGGTAGAAAGAACCCCGTTACATGTTTTACAGGTACTGTCTAATGACTCCAGAAGAAAGCTCACGAGTCGTTGAGTAACTTCCCAGGGTCTCAGTGCGGTGCATTGTGGAGCCAGCGCTCGCACACCCAGCCCTGGCACGCCAGGAGGAACGGCCCGAGAGAAAGCAGAGAGTAGGCTGAGTCCGATGGTGAAAGAATTAGGTGCCCTGCTGAGGAGCCACAGGCAGGGGAACAGAACTGCAGGCTTTGACAAGAGGGGAGGCATAGTCAGAACCGGCTGGAAAGACTGCTGGGCGGCACCTTCTGGGAGAGAGCGGGTGGGGCGGGAGAATGAGGGCAGCGAGGCCCCACGGGATGTCCCTGTGATAGTAGCTGTGAAACAGAACATGAGAACCTGAGCAAAGGGAATAAAAATGGGGACGAGGCAACAAGTCTGAGAACATTCCCGTGCCATAATTTAAGGGTAACAGTTTACACAAAAGTAGCATGCTTACTAAGTGCAGCTTTAAGGAAAGCACTTTATAAATGGAAATGGAAATACAGATCTGGCCAGTGGGGCTAACCTGTGAGCATTGTACTGGGTAAATGTGTCTGTCTTCTCTCTGTAAAGCCACACAAGTGTTAGAGGGACATGGTGGAGAACACTGCACTAGACTTGGGGGTTAGGAGACATGGGTCTTAATAACAGCTCTGAACACAGCTAGATGTCCTTGAGTGGGTTGTCAGCACTCTGGGCCTCTGTCTCCTCAACTTTGTGATATAAGATGAGAGAAATCAGACCACCTCCAAGGCCTCTTCCAGCTCTAAAATGCTGTCCTTCTGGGGTGTAATCAGAAGGTGTGATTGGTTTTCTAAAAACACAGTCTGCAGCTCAGATTTATTTATTCAGTAACTGATTTTTCTCCTCTGTTCTACAATAGAATAAGTAAATCACATTCTTAGAAAGGAACCCATAGAAGGGATACAGAAGAATCCCTAGGAAAAAAAATGACTGTAGCCAGACAGCTGAATCAATGCAAAGATCAGAAGGGTGACAGATGTGGCTGCCAGATGATGGCCCCAGAGCAGTGGAGGGCCGGGCTAGTATCTCTCTTAGGGTCAGCTCATGAGGAATAAAGAGATGTTTTGATGACAGTGGGAGAATGAAGCAGAGAAACTCTGTTCTTGGGAACAAACTGCCGTTCACTTCCAAGCAAATTTCATATGTGGCCTTCCCTCATTCTGCAGTTACTTATATCTAATATTCATTCATTTATCCAGCTATTTAACAGATGTTTGTTGAGTGTCCAGTATGTGTCCAGGCGCTGAGCTAGATCATGAAACTTACAGACTTGTAGGAGAAGACAGGCAAAAGGTAAACAAATACTTAGTTAAAATACAGGAAAGCACTATTATGTTAAAGATGAGGGTGCTGTCGTGGAGAATGAGGAGGAGACCTATTTAGGGGCTGTTTGTAGAGATAATTAAATTGAGAAGTAAGAGATGAGAGTAGCCTCTCTTGCAAAGAGCCAGAGGTAGTGCATTCCTGATCCCAGCTGTGGAGGCTGAATGGCAGAGAAGAGCTTGGTGTCTTTCAGGAACTGAAAGGAGATCACTGTAACTAGACAGTGGTCGACAAAGGGAGGTCATAGAGCAAGACGAGGCTGGGAGGGAGGGGGGCAGGGAGAGATCATGAAGGAAGTCAGGGCAGGGGTTTGGGGAGCTCTGGAAGGGTTTTAGAGGTAGGGGTGTGTGTGTGAGAGAGCGAGAGAGAGAGAGATGATCCACTTTACATTTTCCAACGTCAGCTCTGGCTGCTGTGGAGGACACACAAGGCAGAGCTGGGCAAGCAGGTATCCAGTGAGGAGTCTGTAGCAATAGTCCAGGAGAACATGATGGTGTCTTAAACGGATCATGGCAGAGGAGATGAAAAGTAGGTGGATTGGGGACTTACTTTGACGGCAGAATCTGTAGGACGTTTGTTATGTGAGATGTGGAGTGGAAAGAAAGGAACAAACAAAGGATGACCACGGTCTGGGTTGAACACCTTGGCAGTTGGTGGCGATATGACACCACCATGAAGACATGAAGAGTTGGTAGTCAGTATCAGGAGTTCGGTTTACGACATAAGTTTGAGAGGCTTGTGGGACATTCCAGTGAATTGTCAAGTAGTCAACTGATATAAGTCTGGAGGGCAAAGAAAACGTCTGGGCTGAGTCTCTGAGTTGGGAGCGCATCAGCACGGAAGTGGTGGTGGAAGAGGTCAGCTAGGGAGAGTGTAGAGGGAGGGAAGTGGAGCCTGGGACAGAAGTCTAAAGAGCTCCAACATGTGGATTAGCGGAGGAGCCTGCAAAAAACACTTCAGGAACAGCAGAAGAGTAGGAGGAAAACCTGTAATGTGTGGCATCAGCACAGACCAAGAAAGGAGAATTTCAAGGAGGAGAGGTCAATTATGTTAGATGCTTTGGGAGACCGAACAGGATGATGATCCCAAAGTGTCCATTCGAGTTGGTGACATGCAGATCACAGGTGATGCTTTAATTTCTATCATTTCACTCCTCTGTTCAAAGAGTCTTCAGTGGCCGCCTACATGCAGAGTCAAGTTAGACCTCACCCGATGGTGTTAACAGCCCTCTACAGCCTGGCCCCGTCCTGTCTTCCTTGTGTGATCTCCCCTCATACCCACTGGGGAGCCAAAATCTTGGGACTCGCTTCCTTCCCTTGAAGCTTCTACTCACCCCTTCTTCCAGTGCTTCACTTACTGTATCATACTCCTCTCTTCAAGACTGGATCATAGAGCAGATGTGATTTCCACAGTGTGACCCTGTGGGAGAGCGCGATGCTGGCAGTGAGGAGACCTCAGTTCTTAGTCTATAGCTAACCCACCAGATAACCGAGTGCCTTCAGGATTACCACTCAACTTCTCTAGAGGCCTCGGTTTCCTTCTCTGTTAATAACGGAGGTTACAACTAAGCATCTCTCTTTGCAGTGACCGTCTACCATTCTGTCTAGCGTGCTTGTATCCATTTTCCATTCATTATGCTCATTCGTCAGCTGATATTATAACAGTTCCATACAACCTATTTTTTAAAATTTATTTATTTATTTTGGCTGCCTTGGGTCTTCGCCGCCGTGCATGGGCTTTCTCTGGTTGTGGCGAGTGGGGGCTACTCTTCGTTGTGGTGTGCCGGCTTCTCATTGTGGTGGCCTCTCTTGTGGAGCACAGGCTCTAGGCACACGGGCTTCAGCAGTTGCAGCACGTGGGCTCAGTAGTCGTGGCTCGTAGGCTCTAGAGCGCAGGCTCAGTAGTTGTGGCGCACGGGCTCAGCCGCTCCACGGCACGTGGGATCCTCCCGGACCAGGGCTCAAACCCATGTCCCCTGCATTGCCAGGCGGATTCCCAACCACTGTGCCACCAGGGAAGCCCCATACAACCTATTTAGTTATTGACATACTTGAGAAATTTGCAATACTGATATACAAAATATCAAATGAATGGAAAGATATTGAGTCTTCTTATGGTTCAAACAATGTAAGAAATCAAAATACTTTCACATGATTTGCCCCTCAAAGGTTTTTACACTCTAACTGGGGAGAAAAGATTATAAACATGAAAGGTTAAATTACAGCATTCTGACACTGGAAGAGAAGAAACATGGAGGCACATGATTAATTACTACAGACCGTGCTCTACTGTTATGTGCCACAGTCTCAAAACAGTACATGTGGGCACAGTGCTAAGCTCAGGAGGCACATAGAGATCCAAGACTGTCCTCGTGGCTACTGAGAAGAACCACAGGACTGCAGAGGAAGGAGAGGGTCAGGCTGGCTTGAAAGGCCTAGTGGATGAGTGGCGATTTGAGTTGGTGTTTGAAGTGCAGGAGAGAGTGAGTGAGCAGCAGACCTGCGATGGAGCTGGAAATGAGAAGCACGTGGGTGTTTGGTGTAGCTCTAGTGGAGGATGCATTAAGGGAGGGGAGAGGGAGACCTTCAGGAGAAAGGACAGCCAGGTGGTTGAATGCTAGGCCAAGATGTGTTATTCATTCAGCTAATGGTTTTGAGTGCCTACTACGTACCAAGTAATAAATATGATTTAGCTATATAGCTCCCGCCCTCAAAAACCTGTCTCAAAGGGAGAAAGATACAAACAGGAAATTAACAGGTAATATAATAAGTAGTCTTAACAGTGCAGAATGCTGTGCACCAGAACAAGCTATAGGTAATGTGGAGATCTGAGGGATTTTAACCATGGACGTGAATGACATTTTACGAAGATTTATTGGTAGAGTGGGTTAAATCTTCTCCCTTATCTACTTGTAAAAGTTACATCAGCATTCAACAAGTATTCACTTGATTGTAAAAGCTTAAGGTTAAAAGGGATTTAAAAAAAAATTTTTTCCCTATTTTGTACTCCAGCCAGAACATGAAAAATTCAGAGGTGGAAAATGACAAGATTGTTCCCAAAGCAGCAGTCATTATACCTGAAGCTGAACAACTAATTGCACCTGGAACACCTATTCAGTTTGACATTGTACTTCCTGCTACAGAATTCCTTGATCAGAACAGAGGGAGCAGGTATGGGCTAAGGGGGTTTATCTCTGGGAGAATTGAAAATAAATTTAACGTCTCGTGTTCCTACCCACCTCCAGAGACTATCACCTTCTGACTTAGAGTTCAAGTGTCACGTGTCCCTTTAGCTGAAACTGTCAGGATGTTTGACTCTGGCTATTCCCCTAGGCGTATCAACCCTTTTGGTGAAACTGAGGATGAGACATTTCCAGAAACAGAAGGTAAGTGGCTAGTTCTGTGTACTTATTCTTTCCCCGGCACAAAATGACCAGGGCCATTGAAATAAGATGTGAAGTCATGTTCTAAAGAGCTTTGACTTGAAATATGAATTGAAATTATGATCCACAGATGTGTGTTCTCTGTGCAGACTCACTAGGAAACATGCAGTTAGGACCATCCTGGCATAAACACTAAGGGGAGGCTGACAGATTTCCTGCAGCTGTCGTACCATCAGCCACATCCATACCCTTTTTGTAGCTCCTGCAGAGAAATGCTGCCAAATCTAAATTTGCTATAACATTACTGCAAAATAAAGTCCAAGAGGATAAAGTCTGGGTGAGTCACAGCCATGCTATTTCATTTTAGAAAACCAAAAACACAAATAACTCATTCTTAAATTTGAAGATGACATAAAAAAGTGTTATTTAATTTGTTCAAATTCAGATTCTGATCTTTGTTGTTTGATTTACATTCTTACAAGGTACATAACATACTCAGTAGAGGTGACCATAACCTGCTACTCCCAAGAGCTGCACTTCCCAGCCAAGGCAATTTAGAAGTGCGGGCAAGACCTCATTTTAACACAGCCTCTCCTTGACTGAAGCCTGAGAATGTCATTAGAATGAAATGCCACTTACTTAAATTTAAAAGTAGGACTTGAGAACTGGCATTCTTTACAGCTTTAGGTAAAGAAAGAAAAAATGATGTTAATAGGCTCTGCATCACATATGACTATCTAGCTGACTTCTCACAGTCCACAGTTTTTTAACTGTCTACATAAAAAACTTTCTAACTTGTAAAAACTAGCTTCATATGGGAGTAACCATTTACAACATATCAGTTATATTTTCCTAATAAGTTTTTTTAACCCTTATTTTTTAGGGGCAAGGATACTCATAGGGAGGACAAGTGAAGAAAAAGTAGGCTTCTTAGTTTCAAATGGTGGATAAGTGAATTACTGTTCTTATAGAAAAAAAAAAAGATCTTTTAAACCTTCTTCATGATCTTCCAGTTGTGGCTGCTGTTATTCAGTTTGTCAGGTTACACGCCATTATCAAGAAGCCAATACTGTCAGCTCATTAGCATCAAATAAGCTAATAGTTCTGCAGTCTCCATTAGTTTATGGAACGTCATCACTGCCCTTCAGTAATAAATGATGTGCATGATTTGAATGAAACCCAACATCAGGTCTTATTTTCTTCAAATACATTTTCTTCTATAAGAGGACTTTATCAGCGGGCCAAAGTAATGAATGAATTTTCTATTGTCTAGTGGAAAAGCTCTTATTTTCAGAGAAAAAGTAAGATGTATATACTGCCACTTACATGTAGTCAGCCTAGAGTTTTCATGCTAGAAGGATGTTCATGTGGTTTCATTTTATAGATGAAGAAAAAAAGGTGCTTTTCTAGTCTAATGAATAGTTCCAAACAGACAAAATATGGACAAATAGGAGATTCAGAGCTTTGGCAATTTGTGGCTTATATAAAAGCAGAGTATTCAGAAGTTTTGGTAGAAAGCCCTCCAGAAAGCAAGGCAAACCCTAGGTCTTCAGCCTGTTCTCAGAAGAGCACATGTGCTTCTGGTATGTGCATCGACAGGCAGGAAGTGAAATGATCCTGAGCAGAAAATGCTCTCTTGCAGATTCTCTTTTGCAACAGATGTTTATAGTTCGGTTTTTGGGATCAATGGCAGTTAAAACAGACAACACTACTGAAGTGATTTATGAAGCGATGAGACAAGTATTGGCTGCTCGGGCTATTCATAACATCTTCCGTATGACAGAATCCCATCTGATGGTCACCAGTCAAGCTCTGAGGTACATTCAGTTTCGTTTTCAGATTTTCTTACAGCTTCGACTGATTCCCCTTTGAAAGCACGTTTAACCATCTAGAGTGTTCATAGTAGAATTGTTTGATTAGATTAAGTAAAGATGCTACTCATGTTTCTGCTCTGTTTTTTACATTTTGGTTTTATAAGATACATTGGCTAGACGAAGTGCCCTTAAAGACAAGAGCTGATATTTTTAGCAACTGGTATCTTTAGTGGTGAGTGAATTCTACCCTGTTGGGCATAAAGATGCCATCACTTGAGGATTACTCTCTGTATCTCAGAGGTTGCAAGTGGAAGGGTTTTTGTTTTTTTCTCTTCCATCTCTGAGAGTACTATTTATAAAAATTAAAAACTATGAAAACAGAACATGAGCCTGCCTGAGATAACTAGACCACCACAAGGAAAATCTGATTAATATTTGTTGGGCTGAAAATAAAGAAGCCAAGTCATGTTAGCTACATGATTTGTGGTTTCAAGTAATAAGATCCATATGAATCATGGCAAACGACAGTCAAGCTGTGGCTGCCATGGGCATTAAGACCTGTGCTGTACAATACTGTAGCTACATGTAACACTTGAAACCTAACTCATCTGAATTGAGAAGTGTTTTTAAGTGTAAAACACATACCAAACATTTAAGATCTCATACTATCCCCCCAAAAAAAAGAATGCAAAATAATTTTTAAATTAATACACCTAGCTGGTAATATTTTCAACCTATTAAAGTATATTAATTTCAGCTGTTTTCACTTTTGATGTGGCTGCTAGACATTTTTAAATTACATATGAGGCTTACACTAAATTTCTGTGGGACAGCAGAGCAGCACTATTTTAGAGCCTTATTCCTGACTTTGGCATTTATTAGCTGTATGAACTTGAGCAAGTTACTTAACCTTTGTGCCTCGGTTTCTTCAGCTATAAAATGAAAACAACCATATCCACACCCCATAGTATTGTCATGAGGAATAAGTGAGTTAATTCATGTAAAACATTTACAGCTGTGATGGGCACATAGAAATTACTCAATAAATGATAGTTTCAAAAAAGTTAATTAGCAGTTTGGCAAAAATCAGAATATAGTTTCTTCCATTTATTACAATCAGTGCTTTTCATTTGTTATAAACCTTTTACTGAGAATGAGGTTCTTATGAATAAAACCTTGTATTTATTTAAAGATTTTCTCTATGTCCTGGACCTCTCATAGGCATTGAAAGCTTTCATAAGCTACAAAGCTTATGATAATCTTTCTTAAAATCACCACCAAAAAGATCAGAGTAAATATATGTAAAAGCAATGTGAAAAACCATAGTACATCAAATAACACTATCCCAAAAAGTGCAAAGTCAACCCACAGAATGGGAGAAAACATCTACAAATCATTTATCTAATAAAGGTATAGTATCCAGTATAAAGAACTCACATATCAACAAAGAAAAAACCCAGTTAAGAAATGGATGAAACCCAGTTAAGAAATGGAAGAATGTCTACTTGAGTTGACATTCCTCCAAAGATATATAATTGGCCAACAAGCACATGAAAAGATGCTCAGTGTCCTGAGTTGTTAGGGCAATGCAAATCAAATCCAGAGACACTTCACACCCACTAGGATGGCTATGGATTTTTTTTTTTTTAAAGAAAGTAACAGGTGTTAGCAAGGATGTGGAGAAACTGGAACCCATTGCTGGTGGGCATATAATATTGTTCAGCCACTGTGGGAAATAATCTGGCAGTTCCTCTATAACTTAAACATAGAATTCCATTCCTGGGTAGATACTCAAAAGAATTGAAAACAAGTGTTCATATAATAGTACTATTCGCAGTAGCCAAAAGGTAGAAATAATCCAAATGTCCATCAAAAGATAAATAGATAAACAAAATGTGGTATATAATACATACAGTGGGATATTATTCAGCCTTAAAAAGGAATGAAGTACTGGTACCCATTACAACATGGATGAGCCTTTAAAACATTACGCTAATTGAAAGACAGACGCAAAAAGCCACATATTGTATGATCATTTATATGAAATATCTAGAATAGGCAAATCTATAGAGACAAAGCAGATTAGTGAGAAGCTGCCAAAAGCTGAGAAGAAAGTTGAATGGGAAGTGACTGCCTTATCAGGTGTGGAGTTTCCTTTTGAGGTGCTGAAGATGTTCTGGAACTAGATAGTGGTGATGGTTGTACAATGTTGTGATGTGTTAAATATCAATAATGGTAAATTTTACCATACATATCCTTGTATGGGAATTCATGTTTTGAGACAATTTAGAAGTCACACAGAAAATCAGATCTTAAGCAAATCCAGGTTACCTGATGTAGACAGCAAACTTAAAAGTTACTCACAAAATATGAATGGTTTAAATCTTCATTTATAGAAAAATTTTACAAAATATTTAAAGTTATCCCAACTTGAGGGAAATTGTTGATGATGTATATTTTAAAAATCATTAAATTCATACTCATTAATAGGGACATAAAAATTTATTTAGCTTTGTAGCTTAAAATTCCATACACATTTTCTCGTTTTCTTAACCACCTCTTTGAAATATGGAGGTTCTTATCCCAATTTTACAAAGCAGTTGAGAGAAGTCAGGGTGACTTACACAAGATCATAAAGTAAGTAGCCAGGTTGGAATTCAGTCTTAAGCCCTCTGATTATAAACACCATGCTTTAACAAGTACAACTGCATACCTTTCAAATTGTAACCATTTGGCGGGGGACAGCTTTATTGAGATATAACTTACATACTGTACAATTTGCCCCTTTAGAGTGTTTTATAGTATATTCAGATTTGTGTAACCATCACCACAAACAGTTTTAGAACATTTTCATCATCCCCCCGAAAAAAACCCATACCTGTTAGTAGTCATTCCCTTTTCCCCTGCAACCTGCTCAGCCCTAGCCACTAATCTTGCTGTTTCTATAGGTTTGCCTATTCTGGACATTTCATTTAAACAGAATTATAACCATCTTTTTAACAGATTTTTTGCTTTCACTTACAAAACTTACAGCAAATCAATAATAATTTATATACACAATACCATGTGTTAGAAAGTAGAAATTTTTATATATAAAATAGCAGTAAATTCTCTAATGCAGTTAATTTTCTCAGAGACACTGATGATGCTTAAAATGTTAAAGAATTTATCTAGAATACCTTCTTAAAGTTACTCCTCCTACACCCAAACTGATAGGGAATACTTTTGTTAAAATCCCTTCACTGTTGTCTCACCTCCACCCCATGTTTTAAAAAAAAAAAATTGTTAAACTTAAAAGTATCCATTTATCCAGTACTTTAAGGGAAACAGAATGATAGTAAGTGCTGAGATGGAGGCTATACGGAATAAGATCCATCCACATTAATTTTCTGGAGAATTTTCTAGAGAATTATAATGCAGCCTTTTTGGATAAGCACTAAAATACTGTGAAATTCTCTATGTGCCATAATCTTCCATTAAAGATACCCTGAGGTTTAACTACACAGGCTCAACAAAGGCAGAAATCAGGGAACATGCTCCCTTTGGATCGTCACATGGAGCGATCTCACCTCGCCCTCAACTAGGTCTTATATTTTCATATTTCGAGGGGTTTTGTGTGATTTTATTCTGAACTTGTACAAACTCATCTAAGGATATAATTTTATCCAACATTTGTGATACAGTGAATCTCTTAAAATTTCAGGTTGATAGATCCTCAGACTCAAGTAACAAGGGCCAATGTAAGTACCCTCATGCATGCTAATTTTAGTGATTACTCCTTAATTCACCTTTGTAGCCACCTGAAACACAAAGTAGGCACTTAGTAAATTTTATTTGCCAAATTAAATGTCACTAATAGTGCACTTTTTTCATGACTTTTGCCATGGAGAATAATCTTGTCTGTTTTTTAATTCCAGTTTGTTGTGTGATATTAGGTCTATTCCTATTTTTTTTCTAGTTTGAACTCACCAGTGTCACCCAGTTTGCTGCTCATCAAGAAAACAAGAGACTGGTTGGATTTGTGGTCCGCATGCCTGAATCCACAGGCGGAGAGTCCCTGAGCACATATGTTTTTGAAAGCAACTCAGAAGGCGAAAAGGTCTTGTTATTTTCTTCATCTTAAGATTCCATAGTATTTCAGCCCGAACAAAGATACTTAGAGGGTTATTTTACACAACCTCCCTGGATATTTAGTTGACTATTCTTCAGGTCCCCATTGAGTAGTTTAGATAATAATACCTCCTAGTAAGGCCCCACTGAAAGAAAACTGGAGTATAATTTCCTTGTGGAAAATACATATCAACCAAAATAGAGTGAATGAAGAACTTTAATGGTGAAATATAAGTGTTTAGTAGAGCTATCAGGAAATGTTTAAAGCAGTTCCCCTCAAATTTATTCTTTTTTAAAAAATTAAAGCAAAAGTTACAATGGAGAAAGTCTATTCTCAGCAAACCAAGGAAGCAGATGTCAGGAAAGTACATCTAAACTGTTCTTTAGTGTGAAAAACTGCATTCACTACTTAGAATTAATCAAAATGAATCAACCCTTCTTTCAGGAAGTATCTGTTTACCACTGTGTATGAACGTGCAGTGGTTAAATATGGTTAAGAGAGAAAGGAAAAAAGAATCCCGGTAAGAACTTTAAACGATTTAATACCTTCAGTTTTCACTTAACCTGGATATTCTTTGTACGCACAAATCGGCAACAGGAGACCAGGACAGGTGGACACTAGTGTTCAGAGCCCTGTGAGATGAGTCTCTTACAGCCAGGTCCTCTGTCCCCATGCTGACGTGAGCAGACAGTGACCTCGTTGTACTCTCATAATCACATTTCTTTCTGAAATTCTTTATCCTTTTCTGCCTTTGCCAAACACTACTTTTCTTGTCTTTTGCAGATATGTTATGCTATTAACTTGGGAAAAGAAATCATTGAGGTTCAGAAGGTAAGGTGCATTTTAGTGCTGGTTTAACAACAACTCAAAGGCTATCTTTACACTTAGATATCTCTCAAAGAGAGAAATGGTGCTCACTAGGCAGGGTGGCCAAGTTTGGGATTTCCTTTTAAGCCTTCTAACTACCAGGCATTTTTTTTTTTTTTTTTCTTGCGTTATGCGGGCCTCTCACTGTTGTGGCCTCTCCCATTTGCGGAGCACAGGCTCCGGACACGCAGGCTCAGCGGCCATGGCTCACGGGCCCAGCCGCTCCGCGGCATGTGGGATCCTCCCGAAACGGGGCACGAACCCGCGTCTCCTGCATCGGCAGGCGGACTCTCAAGCACTGCGCCACCAGGGAAGCCCTAACTACCAGGCATTTTTGATCAGCTAGTTCCATGGTCACTGGTAACACGTAGAGTTCTTAGTATCACTGCTGCACCTCCTACTGTTTTATCAGTTTTTTTTTTGCTGTTGTTGTTGGCTAGATTTCCTTTCTTTCAAATGAAGCTGGTACAAACCTCAGCATCTACCACACGCTCTAAGGCCTTCCTCCTCAGCGTGGTCACAGGCCCAGCAACACTGAGACGTTACCTGGAAGCTTATTGGAAATGAAGACTCTCAGACCTATCAGCAGTTTGCAATCTTTCATTTACCCAACTAATTTTTGAGATTAAATTTTGTATAAGAAAATCCCTGGAATTACATCAGTGAACAGGGGGCTTCTGGTTCAGCACTGTCCAGTAGAACTTTCTGCAGTAATGGAAAAGATCTATTTAATATGCAGATTGAAATGTGGCTAGTGTGACTAAGGAACTGGATTTTAAATTTTTAATTAATGTAACTAGTAACGTGTATTGAATAGCTAGTGGGTATCATACTTGTGCAGTTCTAATCTATCAGGGAGGGGCAGACAGATCAAGGACTAAGACCAACATAATGAAAACACAGCAAGCCCTGCAAGTTTGTATTTTATGGTGTAGGTCAGAGTTGGCAAACTTTCTGTAAAGGGCCAGATAATAAACCTTTCTCAGCTTACTATCTCTGTTGCCAACTACTCTACTCTGCTGTTGTTAACACAAAAGCTGCCACAGTATGTAAATGAATTGGCATGGCTATGTTCCAGTAAAACTTCATTTATAAAAACAGGCGGTGAGCCAAATGGCCATAGTTTGCCAACTCTTGGTATAGAGTAAAAGGAAAAAAAGGAGTTTAAAGACAAAGGTCAAAGTTGTGAGGGAAGTTCCTCTCCGGACTCTTTCCAGAAAGATGATTCTGAGTTGGCTCTGTAAATGATATTTTAGCTGAGAGGCAGAAACTTGGCCTAGTTTCTGGAGAAGTAATTCAACTGAGGGTTTCTTTAGAGATTCAAGGAGACCCACCTGAAGGCGCACATAGACGAGTCAGAAGGAATGAGGCTAGATTACAGAACATAATGACAGCCAAGCCAAAGGGGTTTTAAGTGCATTTTAAGCATTTTCTTTTCTCCTTCTTAAACTCCCATAACTTCAGGATCCAGAAGCATTGGCTCAATTAATGCTGTCCATACCACTAACCAATGATGGAAAATATGTACTGTTAAACGATCAACCAGATGACAATGATGGAAGTCCAAGTGAAAATAGAGGCGCAGAATCTGAAGCATAACCTTCTTGCGCCTTTGGGTGAAGAGCACCCAGGAAGGAGAGCTACCTCCTTAAGGGTTTTCAACTTCTCTGATACATACAGGCACACCACTTGGTTTCAGAATGCTGACAGCCGCTTGTGGAACGTACTATTGATGCCTTGATACTGAGACTTGGGAGGGAAACAGTAAGAAATGGTTGACAACATACCCATCTACAAATGTTATTTTAGGTGCTTTGTGGTAAGTCCTTTTCTTAGATTGCATTGTTCAGTGCTCAGAATGAAAGCTATGGAAAAAATGCATTGTTCACTCTATTTCAGTGTCATCTCTTTTCAGTTTCCAGTATCTTTTCAAAAAATGGTAAAAGGCTAGATTTATAATTTGATAAACACTAAATATTTCCTATTAATATAATCTATTTTTGTATTTTACTTTTAAGTGCCTGTCATTCTGAAAATTGTATATTTATAATCAAGTTTGTCTCAGAATTGGACCTAACAGCATTAATTTGTGCAGTTAGGTGATGAGCCCTGTGCTTTGAGGCTCAAGCACTAGCAGAAATGCAGGTCTAGTTTTGGTAATTGTCCAAACATCATGCAATAAAAAGACAAGCAGATGAGTACCACAAAAGATGTTTAGTTTTACAGTGGAACCTTAATGAACCAGCATTCAGAAGTTCATGGTCCTTTAGATACTGTTTTTAGGGGTGGATCACCAGGGACAGGGTGCAGCTCTACCAATTCCTGTTTCTTCTGAGCCAGACCCTCCTTAAAGGAGGGACCAATTAACTTTAAAACTCACTTGAAGCACAGCTGGCCATGGGGCTTGGTATAAAAGTTCCTATTTCCACCCTGACAGATGGTTCCAGGCATCCCAGCCGACTAGGAAATAAGTATAATGATCTTTAATTGGTACAGTATGTTTAATTATAACGAAGTTCAACAGAAATATCACTTTCTTTGTAATAAATTAACCTAGCAGTAAAAGCTAGCAAATAAAAACTATCTTTCTGTTTCTTTTGCTTTTTGTGGTTATTTTCTAGAACATCCCTGAAAAAAAACTAAAGTTGGTTCTGTAGCTTTAACAGTTAATTCCCAAAAGAAAACCAGGACATCATAATGAAATCACAGCAGAGCGGATGTACTATGCAACATGAGTGGAATAACGTGATCTCAATGCCAAGTTTTTAAAAGGTGCTGCTCTTAAAGTGGTGGATTAATAAAATAACTTTTGCAACTCAAAATTAGGTTAAAGGGTTTAACTGAGGAATCCACTTCTATAATGTGTGCACCGTCAGAGACACAGTGAGCTAGTCAAAACAGTATGAAATTATACACCATAAAATCATCAGTTCAGTGTTAACTAATGTCTTATAAATTTCTATATCGTAATCATGGTAGATCAGTAAGTTCTGACAGGCTTCAAGAGCCACAGTCCCCTGAATTCTTGCTTAGAATTGTTCAGGATGGGAGGAGAACAACATTGTTAGAAACTACAATCAATTTTTCTAATTAAAAAAATTTTAATCATGTGTGGCCTATGGAAACAAAAAGACTAAACAAACATAGCTACCATATGATCCAGCAGTCCCACTCCTGGGTATATATCTGGAAAAGATGGAAACTAATTTTAAAAGATACATGCAGCCAGCACTATTTTCAATAGCCAAGACATGGAAACAACCCAGGTGCCATCAACAGACAACTGGCTTAAAAAGATGTGGTGTGCATATATATAAATACACACACACACACACACACACACACACACACACACACACACACACACAC